CTCTTCCTCCTCCCCCCTGGCCTTTCGATTATAACGAACCCGTCTGGCGAAGCAGCGTCTTTTAGTCATCACCTGCACAGAGCCCAGCGCTACAGGTGTCTGCTCCGTGCTTGATGCTCTAGGCACCTGTAATGCAAGCACTGGTAAAAAAACACCTTGGTGTCCTCCACAGCTTCTTGTGGTGATGGAGAAGCTGAGAACAGACGCATTACTGTCCGCTGGAGGGAAAGTTCACACTGGTACAAGTGACCTACCAGCTTCAGCAAAGCACCCTGAGCCATCACCTCTGGCTCCCGTCACATTGATGAACCGGTGGCCCTGTATGTTAAGTTTATTCATTTGGAAAGCAAAACTGAAGACTTTTGGCCCCTACGCCCATACCTTGATTTCAAGCCCTAGGAATCCAACAGTCAGCATTTTTCAGCAGTTAGAAAACTGACATAATCAAAACCAATAAAGCCCAAAGCGAGTGGTTCCCATGCTGTTGCAGAGGGAGTGCTGGGGTGGGGTGTGAATAAACAGCCTGATGTTTATGGCTGTCGTAGTTTCGGCTGGGATAGAGTTAATTTTCTTTCTAGTAGCTGGTCTGGTCTGGTGTTTTGGGTTTGCTATGAGAGGAATGGTGATGGCACATCAATGCTTTAGTTGTTGCTAAGTAGTGCTTACACTGGTCAAGGACTTTACTTTTCGGCAGGCTCTGCTGGGTGCACAAGAAGCTGGGAGGGAGCATAGCCAGGACAGCTGACCCAACTGGCCAACGGGGTATTCCATACCATATGATGTCATGCTCAGCATATAAACTGGGAGGCATGGTCCGGGAAAGGGGAATCACAGCTCGGGGACGGGCTGGGCGTTGGTCGGCAGGTGGTGACCAGTTGCATTGTGCATCGCCTGCTTTGTATATTCTATTATTGTTGTTGTTGTTGTTGTTGTTATTGTTCTACTTTGTTTTATTTCAATTATTAAACTGTTTTTATCTCAACCCACGAGTTTTCCCACTTTTGCTGTTCCGATTCTCTCGCCCGTCCTACCGGGGCGGGGGGGAAGGAGGGGTGAGCAAGCAGCTGTGTGATGTTTAGTTGCTGGCTAGGGTTAAACCACGACAATGGCTCTACCAAGATACTTGCAGGTTCACATTATTTCACACCACTTTCCCCAGAAAAACGTGTCCCTGCAATGATTACTGCTCACATGGACACACTAAACCATGGCCAAACTTTAAAGTAATAGCAACCTACGTAAAGCAAGTATTGGAAGATTTTCTCTTAATCATCCAACCAAATAAGAGGTCAAACCTGATACATTCAGAAGGGTTTTTAGAATTGGGAGGTGCTGCATCACTCTGCTTTTTCACAGGAAGATCTTACAGTGTCTAAGGCTGTGAGAGGCATTTTTTTTTTTATTCTGTCACCATGCTACAAAGAAGATGATGTTGCTTTGCTTCCCCCGCTCCAACATGGAACTCTGAACACTGGCTTGTTAATGATAACCTATTTATTTAAGCCTTAACAACCCCCCCGACACCCCTGTGTGCTTTTCTTTGCTCTGTTCATTTCTCCTTAGATCACAGGAAGGTTGCTGCAGCTGGTATCTGACAACAGAAACACCTTCTCAAAATTTACTTTCCTGTCTCTCTTAGGCTATATATAAGTAACTCAGGCAACTTCTGTAGAACCTCTTGTAATTAACTTGCCAGGGAAAGTTATTGTATTAAAAACAAGCAAATCCGTATTTGAGACATCAAGTTCATTGAAGTTCATTGGTTGAAAACCAATGCTAAATGGTTGGAGAAGTTTAGACAAACACAAGCCATTAACTACAATTAGTTTGTTTATTGAAAACCACTGTATAATAATTCATGATGCAGACTGTCATTTACAGAGTGTAAGAAGCCATCAGAAATGCAACATCGAGTGGTTAGTGGCTGAAAGAAGATCCCTTCCAATCCCCCGCCAGTGCTCCCCACTTCCTAGTGCAACTAGGATGGCCATAAGGCTGCATGGAAAGGCTAATATAGTATAAAGGCTTGATATGTAATGTAACAGCAGTTTTCAGCAGAATATTGAGCTCAAGTGTTAAATACGCTCAGCTACCCTGAGTGTAAACAAGCAGTCTATTTCAGTGCTATCAAAAATTGCCAGAGGTTGCTTAAATGCAAACAAGCTTTAAGAAATTAGTTTGATAAAACTATTTATTGCTTTCAGTGTATATTTTGTTATAAGTGTTTCTGTCCTACACAAAGGCTGAAAGACAAGCAATCTTGACTGCAACCAAAATGCTTATCTAGTGAAAGTTATAAGGTATTCTGGGTAAGCTTGAATGTCATTAAATATGATAAACATGGATGGCTGGTTCACATTATCAGTTGAACTATCAAACAGATCTGTAGGGTTACTAGCTTTTTTGGCTGCTGGAGTAATTGATCCCGCTGTCCCCTGAGAATATTCTCCAACAAGAACTCGAGCCAAGTATATGTACTTCTTCCCATTTGCATCTGGTTTAGAGTAGGTGTCGCTGGCAGAATAGCTAGCATTAACAGCAAAGTATGTTCCATTCCCAAAGTGTGCAGCTGTAGTCAGAAAAACAAATATTTGTGAGCGTTTCAGTAGCAGCAATCACTTATCTGCCGTCTTCAGAGCCTGTGAATCTCTTCACAATTTTGCTTTTTATTTGCAATAGGGAGATTTAACAAAACAATTAATTTTGCATACAAGGCAGGACTATATAGATGGCATGGCAAATCAGTCCTAGCTCTATTCAGGAAAACAAGAGTTGTTTTGAAATTCACATTACCGTGCATTCCAGCATAGCTCCGGTTAAATCCATGGTTGTTAATTAAGGTTAACGACTCCTTACTTGTCCCATGAAACAGAAACCTCTCATTATTTCTGTTGCCATTTTTGTTATCCATTTCACGCTTTTTTATTTGGTAGGCCTTCCAAAAAAATAGGTTCTGTACTCTTTCAATCTGCAAAGTTTGAAAATAAGACAGACAGACAGACAGAAGGTTGCTGTCAAGAAAAACATTAGTGTATCAACAATTCAATCCGCTACCACGATTCTCCTCCTAGCTCCAATACACATATACCAGATTATGAAAGAAGTTGGCCAAATCATTCTTTGGCATGACGGACAGCAGAACCCAGCCCAAAACATGCTTCTGGCCCAGAAGCATGCCATGGGAAACAATACAGGACAGTTTCACAGGTTTCTGGGGCTTAGATGACATGCCTACCTGCAAAGCACGCTTGGCTTAAGTGTGGAGAAGAATTGTGGAGTTGGGAGTTTCGGCCAAGATAAGATAGAACTTCGGCCTGTGTGCTGAGAACTAGCAGACGCCTGAGATAAGACCTGAATACCTGGCTTAGTTGTCTCCTCTGTAAGGAAACTGAAAACATCAAGAGAATCAGGTAACTGGTTAACCGTGAGAATAAGTGGATCTGAGAGCAGACGTGTGGATCATTGCCAAAAGGAAGAGAGACTGTTTTTCGTAGTTAATAAGGGATACGAGTCAGGTGATGATTGGGGGAGAGAGCGGGACCTTCCCGTTATGGTAAAGGATATATTCTCCTGTTTTGTAACAATAAACGATTCTGTGCATGTAAATGATTCTGTTCACATATATGTGAGGGTCCGTGCAATCATACACCACAAATGGCGCCCTAACAGGGTTTGAAAGAAGAAAACCTGAAGAAAGAAGGTCTTGAAGAAAGGAAATAGAAATATCCAGTGGTGTACCCCTATTGAGCTGGACGAAGGATAGACAAAGTATCAACATATTGAGCTCGATTCATCACTGGTCGCAGGACGATTCAGGTGAGCAGCCGCGGGGAAGTTATATGAATTTTATACATTAGTCACTGGGCAGTCGGCATCTAAGTCACAGAAGCTTCAACTTGAAATATTTCAAAATATTTTAAAGGAACAAGGTTTTAAGGTCACTCCAATACAATCGGTGAGACTCCTTGTGTGGGTCCGAGAACATTGTCCTCGGTTTCCTTCTGAGGGAACCATAGGGTGTTATGATTTAGCCCTATGGCAAAAGGTGGGAGAAGAATGCAAACGAGGAAAACCTTGCAATTAGAAGTTCCAGAAGGAATATTGATTACCTGGCGAGTTGTATATACGGCTTTGCAGAAGTTGCATCCTGCAGAGCAGGTGTTGCAAAATGTGACTGATTCAGCAATACCGGAGGGTGAATCAAAAGATGGGGAAGATTCGTTTGAACTGTTGGCTCCTGATGAAACTGTAATGCCTCAAGCCGAGCCCCCACTTCTGGAGAACGATTCAGAGCCAGATGATCCCTTTGACGCGGGCTCGATAGACCCCGAACAAGAGCCTGATTTATACCCTCCACTCACGCCAGTCAAAGCAATGGCTGCATCCACGCCAACGGCAGATGAAATTTTACAGTGACAGAGACAAAAGACACTTTCTTGGTTGTCCGTCATGAAACCACCACCATTTGCGCCTCC